GTAGTAATTATAGTAAGAGAGTAATTATTATATTACTTTAATTCTCTTTCTTTTCTTTATCTAACGCCCTTCTTTATACTTATTTAGTATCTCGATTAATAATAAAGATCTTACTAAAAAAAGCTATTAATATCCTCTTAATTACTAAGCTTTTTACTAGTTTTTCCCCTCCTTTCTAGCCGTTACCGGTATATCTATCTTATCTCTCGCTACCTTTATAGGAAGCTATCGCTACTTTTACTTCCCTTTATACCCTTACCCTCCTCTTTTTACCTCCTTTTAGCTTATTCTTTTAAACCGGTTTTTTAGCTTCCTTAGTCCCTCTTACTAAGGGGTATCTCTAAAAACTATAAAATTAAGCTATACTTCGCGATATATATAAGCTAGGCTTATACTTCTCTTTTTTTTTTCCCTTTATAGATTATTAACCTTCTTTTAATAAACTATACCTAAGCTTATACCTTTACTTACTTTATAATAAAAGTAAGTATAATATATAAGATTATAACTTTTATAAGACTTAAAGGATATATAAGATTAAATATTAACTACTAAGTAAATCTAGCTATTAATTAAAAAAGAAGAATTTAAGAAATTTTATATAAATAGTAAGACTTATTATTATAATATTAAGTAAGTTTTAAATTAAATTATTTTAAACCCCTTTTTAAAAAAAGGTTATTTTCTTAAATTATTAAAAAACTATAAATACTTTTTTAAGTTTTAAAGCTAGAAATATTATTTTTAAACTTTATTTAATATAAATATAAATATTTCCTTTAAATTAATATTTATATAAGAACCTATACCTAATAAGTAGTATTACTATTATAAGCTTATTATTAAAATATTTTTAAAGCTTTATAAACTTTCTTTAATAATATTAATAGTTATAGTAATATACTATAATATATTATATTTAGTAACTTTAATTTTAACTTATTTATATTAATAAACATAGTATTTTAGTATTTTAAATATAAATCTAGCTTATAATATAAAGCTTAAAGAATATAGACTTATTATAATATATAAACTATAATATACTTTTATTAAATATAAATATAAGACTTTTAATTAAAATATAATTTTCTTTTTTTTAAATATAGGTTTAAGCTTATAAGCATATTAAAAATATAATTACTTTAAAATAGTCTTAATATTTAATAGATAACTAAATTTCTATTTTAAGTAATATATCTTATTAAGCTTATCTTAGGCTTATAATAACTATATTATAAGTAAACTTAAAGCTTAGTAAAAATATAATTAAGCTATTTATACTAGTTTAGTAAAATAAAATTAAGTATTAAGAATTCTTATAAGTAAAAAACCTATAGTTTATATTTATAATATATAGTAACTAGTAGCTAAACTAGTACGAAGGCCGGCCTTTAGGCTTAAATTAGCCCCTTAGTATAACTCGCACCTCCTGCCCCTTTAAGCTCTATAATCCCTTTTCTATCTACGCACCCGTTGGTGCGTGATCTATTAGAATACTCTCACACCCTTCCGCACGCCTTGGTCCGTGACAGTTGCATAGTAGGCCGCGCGAAACATTCTTAGAATAGTGAGATGTCACATTTAACTACTGCACCACGCCGGCAAAACTAAAATGCATACTCTAGCATTTGGAGCTCTAAGTGACGCACATAGCCTATGTTTGACATGGGATGTGACTGACTTACTTCACAAAGCTCGGTAATCGACGAATGATGGCGGTCCTCGCTGGAAGACAAGGGTAGCAACGTTAGGGACCCGTTTTAATTGAATACTGCCAGGGGCTTTAAAGCCCTGGCCGATTCGAACCAGGGTTACAAACAAATTGATCATTTTTAAATATCCGCAGGTTTGAGGCTTAGCGGGTCACCTCGCATGACCTATTTGGTAGGTCACACAAAGCCTGGAGACTCACACAAACCTGGAACACCCACCAACATACTCCCTAGCAACCCGTTTCGCACCTAAACCCACCCTAGTCTGATCAGCGCTATGTAGCGTACTATCGCTCGCCACTACCATGATACACGAATTCGTTATTTTTGAGACTAGGGAAAAGCAGAGTGACACCTCAGCAGAATGGGTTCTAGAGGTGCACATATAGTGCATGTGCCATGTATTAAGGAATGTGATATCGGCTGAAATGTACTTGCTTAGCAGCAGGCCGCCGATAACTGTCCTAGTCAGTCACAAACAGCATTCAAATAAAGAAGTCAGCCCGAGGAGTAGAATAACTTAAAGCTTAGCATTTAATTAAAACATATTTATTACCCACCGCTTTATCTAATATAAATACTATACTCCTATAAAATAATTTTTTTAACTAAGCAATTCTCCTTCTATAGTTTTCAATTCTCTCTCCCTCCTACTAGCTAAAAAGGATTGCTACTATTCTTCTATATTAACATTATCATGCAACTCAAGACTTTAACCATTTTTATTGTTATAGCAACTGTGGCCGCTAAGGCCCCTCCTAAAGTCATAAGCCGAATTGGTAATTGGAAATTCCACGGCTGCTATAAGGACAATCATAATAAGCGGACTTTCCACTATCATAAGGATGGGTACCATAATAAAGACATGACCCCTGATAAATGCCTCCTTATGTGTAACGCAATTGGTTTTAAGTATGCTGGCTTAGAGTCTGGCTTTAGGTGTTTTTGCGGCACTAAGGCTGATTTAGATAGGGCTGGTGCAAAGAAACTTGATAAGGGAAAGGGATGTACAAGCGGATGCACTGGCAAGAAGAAAGTTAGTTGTGGCGGCCGTTCGAACTTATTAGTATATGCTCTAGAAGGTTAAGAGTGGGTTAAATGCTATAATATTCTAAGCGCGATTAAAGTTAAAATCTAATATAAAGTATTAAGTTCTTTCTTCTTACCCTAGCTATAGAAAGATAATACTTAAGTATAAGGATCTAAATTATTAAGTTATTAATATATTTATATTTAATTATATTATCTTAAAATAAGTATTAAAATACTTATAAGTAACTATATATAAGCTTTAGTTAATTACTTATAAGTTATTTCAATATATTATTAAAACTTATAAGGTAGCTAAGCCTTATAATAGTTACTTTATATTATTTATAAATATATTTAGCTTACTTACTTAATATAAGTTTAAATAAGTTTATATTAATTATTTATATTAATTACTTATATTAATTATATATATATAGTATATTATTATTTAAGATAAAGAGTAGATAAATATTATTTAACTTAGAATATTTAAAAAAAAAGTATAAAAAGACTATAAATATATAAAGATATATTAAGAATAGTTTATTAAATAAACTAAGAGAAATACTTAATCTTTATATAAATAAAACTATATAAATCTTATTAACTATTATTATTATATATATATCTAGTATATTCGTTTTTATTTATTACTTTACTCTATACCTCTTTAATCTTACTAAGTATATAAGAAATCCTTTTTAATTATAATTTTAATATTATATCTTAAATCTTAATATATTACTAAAATCTATTAAATTACCTTAAGTTTTATATTTCTTTTCTTTTAGCCCCTTTATATCTCTCTCTTTTTAAAATCTTCTTTTTTTCTTTATAGCCCTCTTAAGCCTTTTTATAAAAAAGACTTTTATTAATACTTTAAACTAAATATACCTTATAATATACTACTAGAATCTAAGCTTACTTTAAAGTACTTAGCTAATTATCTTTAGTTTAATAAGTATATAAAAGAAAGGATATTTCTATAGTTTTATTAAAGATTTCTAAAACTTAAGAGTTAAGGAAAAATTAAGTACTAATTAAACTTATTAAATAAGTTAAAAACTAAAAAAATTAAATATCTTTTATACTTATAATATAAGGATATATACTTAAATATTATAGTATATATAGTTAGTTTAAATTTAATTTAAGTAAAGCTATATTTTAGCTAAACTAGTTATTAAAGTAAGTTATAATAAAAGATATATTATAGGATAAATAAGTATAAGATAAAAGAAAGAGTAAGAGATAAGATAGGTTTACTAATAATAGCTAGAAAAGAATAGAAAAAAGAAAAAAGCTTAGATTCTAAGTAGATATTAAAGACTTAGCTAAGGAGGAATTCCTTTATTAATAAAGATACTAAAAGGATATAAATAAGGGCGTTAAATAAAAGAAAGAAAAATATAGAAAAAAAAAATTTAACTCCTTACTATAGTTATTACCCTTTAAAGACTTAAATAACTTTACCCTACCTATCTTTCTTATAAAGAGATAAATAAGAAGTATATATAAAATATTTTAAGGCAAAATTAGTAGTAAGGGGTCGGATAGGTAGGGCAAAGTTATTTAAATGTTTAAAGTATAATACTTATAGTAGGGGAGTAATTATTATATTAAGAAGCCTTTAAAACAGCCCTGTAGACCAAGGCAGTAACCAACAGGCAAGCAAGCATGTCATCTGGGCTCGCGGTGCGCATGCTGGCGCCTCGACGCGCCGCCGTCTCGTCGTTGCCGCCGTCGGCGGGAGCTTCAGCACTACCAGCGGCAGCTCCAGCAGCTCCAGCCTCAGCAGCAGCGCCCCCCGTTGCAGCCAATGACGAGATGCTTGTCGTTGGCCCGCCGTATGCCGGGCTCCTTTCCCTTTAACCGAATTGACCCCTCAATCGCGTGCGAGATTCTCCGCAGCCGTGTCGTCTCTCCCCCTCCCCCCCACTTCTCTCCTCGTCTCCCACTTCCCCCCCGCTTCCTCTCCACTTCCCCTCCTCTTCCTCTCCCACTTCTCCTACCCTATTCTCCATCATCGCTTCTCCTCCTCTACTCTCCATCATCGCCTCTCCTGCAAGCAGCGCCGTCATTTCAAGCGCTTCAAGCTAACTCATTTCGAGGCAACTCAGTCCTGTCTCTCGGCAGCAGCGGAGATACGCCTCGCCGCTGTCCTCGGCCTCGTCGACCCTCCCCCGCCCTCGACCTTGTCGCCCGCCACAGTCGCCTCCGGCCTCGCGCCACTGCTCCTACCGCAGACAGACCATGTGCAGAAGCCGCGCCGGAGTCGACGTGACGGGTGGCGGTGGTGCCAGCGCCTCGGACAACGGCCGAGAGCTGCTCCCGACAAATGTCGTGCCTCGGCACTACCACGTCACCCTCGAGCCCGACTTTCACACGTCCTCCTTTGACGGCTCCGTCGTCATCGACCTCGACGTCGCCCAGGACTCGTCCTGCATCTCCCTCAACACCCTCGAGCTCGACATCCACAGCGCCTCTGTCTCTTGCAACGGAAAGGCCCTCAGGTATGTCCCAGTCCTTGTCTCTACGCAGCACCATGCTAACCTCGCAGCTCCGCCCCCCGCATCTCCCGCGACGACGCGACGCAGGTATCCAAGTTTGACTTTGATGGCTCCCTCGCAAAGGGCTCCAAGGCCCAGCTCAGAATCAAGTTCACGGGCCACCTAAACAACGTCATGGCCGGCTTCTATCGCTCCACCTACAAGAAGGACGATGGCTCCACGGGCATCCTCGCCACCTCCCAGATGGAGCCCACCGACGCCCGCCGCGCCTTTCCCTGCTTCGACGAGCCCGTACTCAAGGCAAAGTTCACCGTGACCCTCGTCGCCGACAAGAACCTGACGTGTCTGAGCAACATGGACGTTGCCTCCGAGTCCGAGGTCCGCTCCGTCAAGACTGGCGCTGTCAAAAAGGCCGTCCACTTCAACACGTCGCCCCTGATGTCCACCTATCTCGTCGCCTTCATCGTCGGCGAGCTCAACTACATCGAGTCCCGTGACTTTCGCGTCCCCGTCCGCGTCTACGCCCCACCCGGCCAGAACATTGAGCACGGCCGCTACGCCCTCGACTTGGCCGTTAAGACCCTCGGGTTTTACGAAAAGCTCTTTGGCATCGATTTCCCCCTTCCCAAGATGGATCAGGTCGCCATCCCGGACTTTGCCCAGGGTGCCATGGAGAACTGGGGCCTCGTCACCTACCGAGTCGTCGGCCTGCTCCTCGACGAAAAGTCCAGCAGCGCCACCGCAAAGGAGCGCGTGGCCGAAGTGGTGCAGCACGAGCTTTCCCACCAATGGTTTGGCAACGCGGTCACGATGGACTGGTGGGAGGGCCTTTGGCTTAATGAAGGCTTCGCAACATGGGTCTCGTGGGTGAGTCCTTGCAGCCGTTCTTGTTCTTTGGCCTTGGCTACTTCAGGTGCGGTGGCTAATCTGCTCCGTCTCAGTACTCTTGCAACGCCTTCTACCCCAAGTGGCATGTCTGGCAGACATACGTCATCGACAACTTGCAGTCGGCCCTGGCGCTCGACTCTCTGCGAAGCAGCCACCCCATCGAGGTACCCGTCAATCGAGCCGACGAGATCAACCAAATCTTTGACGCCATTTCCTACTCCAAGGGCTCGTGCGTCTTGCGCATGATCTCCACCTATCTCGGCGAGGACACATTTTTGGAGGGCGTGCGACACTATCTCAAGAAGCACGCCTACGGCAACACCCAGACGGGAGACTTGTGGGCGTCGCTGAGCGCCGCCAGTGGCAAGCCGGTGCAGGACATCATGGCGACCTGGACCAAAAAGGTTGGCTACCCGGTCCTCACCGTGACCGAGGACGAAAAGGCCGGCACCATCCACGTGAAGCAGAACCGCTTCCTCAGGACGGGCGACACCAAGCCGGAGGAGGACCAGGTTCTTTACCCCGTTTTCTTGAACGTGCGCACCAAGGACGGCGTCGACAAGTCTCTGACGCTCTATGAGCGCGAAAGGGACTTCAAGGTGTCCGACACCGACTTCTTCAAGCTGAATGCGAACCACACTGGCATCTATCGGACCTCGTACACGCCCGCTCGCCTCGAGAAGCTGGGCAAGGCCGCCAGGGACGGGCTTTTGACGGTCGAGGACAAGGCCGGCATGATTGCCGACGCTGGCGCACTGGCCACGTCCGGGTACCAGAAGACATCGGGCGTTTTGAGCCTGCTTAAGGGCTTCGACTCGGAAGTAGAATACGTCGTGTGGAACGAGATCATTGGCCGGCTGTCGGCCATCCTGAGCGCCTGGATGTTTGAGGACAAGGCCGCCCGGGATGGCCTCGAGGCCTTTCTCAGGGACCTGGTCAGCTCCAAGGCACACAAGATGGGCTGGCAGTTTTCCGACGGCGACGGCCACGTGGAGCAGCAGTTCAAGGCCATGATGTTTGAGACGGCGGGCATCTGCGGCGACGAAGCCGTCATTGCGGCTGCCCGGAACATGTTTTCCAAATTCATGGGCGGAGACAAGGCGGCCATCCACCCCAACATCAGGAAGAGCGTCTTCGGCATCTGCCTCAAGTATGGCGACAAGGAGGAGGTGAGACTTTTCGGCCCCTGTCGCAAAGAAGATGGCTTGCTGACTTGACGGTTTTCCTGTCTAGTATCAAAATGTCCTCGACCTCTACTGCTCGTCGTCGAACAGCGAGGAGCGCAACACTTGCCTCCTCTCCCTCGGCCGGGCCAAGGACCCCGAGCTGACGAAGCGGACGCTGGGCCTTCTCTTTGGAGACGAGGTCAAGGACCAGGATGTGTACATGCCCGTGAGTGGGCTGCGCTCGCACCCCGGGGGCATCGAGGCCATGTTCGGCTGGATGACGAGCAATTGGGAGACCGTGTACGAGCGATTACCTCCCGGTCTGCCCATGCTGGGCAGCATGGTGATGATCATGACGTCGGGCTTCACTACGCAGGAGCAGCTCTCGCAGGTGGACAAGTTTTTCGCCGCCAAGAACAACAAGGGCTACGACCAGTCGCTGGAGCAGAGCAAGGATGCCATCCGGTCTAAGGTGTCGTGGGTGGAACGTGATCGCGAGGACGTGTCGGCGTGGCTCAAGGCCAATGGCTATTTGCAATGAAGTGTGATTTGAGTGGAGACGATGGTGTCGTTGACGGGCCACCAGGAGTCTAGAAAAGCCGAGTTGCACTTGTGCGATTGACTGCTCGGAGCCGATGACTTGATGGCGTTTGATGAAGGCAGATAAACCACGGATAATTGATGTGTGGTGGATGTGTGCTGATGGACGAGCATAAGGTAGCTTCTCTTGTACTTGCGGTTTCACGCGCACTTATGAAGGCATTACCAAGGATTGGTGATTCGCGGTCCGTCATGCATGTGAAGACGACTCAACAGCATGGCCTGAATCGGACGTGGTAAGCACGCGACGATTGGATAGGTCGGCTGACCGAAAGCCGAGCTCTGGCGCTGCCTTGCTTAACAAGCGGCAGGGGCTTTACGGAACTTCAGCGGAAGTCGACGGTGTAAGCCAGCGGCCCTTGTCTAGCAATATGCCGCTATCTCGCGAAACTCGTAAAAAGTCATTGAGTGAATCAAGCAAGCACAAGAATTCGGATCGTCAAGACTTGAGCTGAGGTCCAACACATCACCTTGCTAGACTTAAAGTTACGAGAAGCACACTTCATCTTACGTATATAACTCAGAGTCCGTCATTGCACAAAAAGCAGGCCAAGGCGTCCACCCTCTTCAAGCCACTGCATCAAACCAAACAGCAACATGACCAAGAAGATCCTTGCAGTCTTTGGCGCCCAGGCAACCAGGGCGACTCCGTCACCCGGGCCGTGCTGGGCGACGCGGCGCTGTCCAAGGAATTTGCGGTGGGCGGCATCACGCGCGAGGTGAGTTAGCCCGCGGCCCAGGAGCTGGCGGCCAAGGGGGTCGAGATGGCCCAGGTGTGCCATGATGATGACGATGACGATGACGACGACGACGACGATGATGATGATGATGATGATGATGATGATGATGATGATGAATGGAGGAAATACTGACCGAGCGCGCCAGGCCGACATGTCGGACGCCGGGGCCGCCGCCCCCGCCCCCGCCCCCGCCGTGTCATGACGGTCAAGCGAGCTTTACTGAGCCCCACACTGCTGACTGCAGTTGCGACACTGGAGTAATTAGAAAGTATCTTGATTTGTGATGGAATAGTCGCGATAGCCTTGCAGTTATTATTTGAACCCCCGTTAGCAGTACCCGTTGCCTAGGCCCTTTAGCGCTCAACTTAGTGGTAACCCAAACCCCAGGTTGGCCCCCTAAGGCGACCCCCTAGGCAACGGGAAGCTGTAGTCTATTGTGCCAGCTAGCCTGGCTTAGAAACTTACTAACTCGGAACGGCGGGTCTATACGTAGATTTTAGCACGAGCTGCTCTTCTAGACCTTCTCTTGTTAGGCGTCCGACCCGCTATCGATCGCCAAGAGCGTTCCAACTTCGTGAGTTCCTACGATATAAGCTCTAGAGCCCTTAAGTTACCGGCTAGTTGTATAGGGAAAAACCGGTAACCCGGGAGGAAAACCTATGTACGACGATCTCGTCTTCCTCGACCCAATGGCGGGCCGTTGTAGGCAGAATGGGTCGCCTGCAAGTAACCCGGGCGGGGCCCCCTCCGCTCTGCAGCCTCGGCAAGCAATATCGCGGATTGCGGCACGCCTGACTCAAGCCACGTGGGACTCTGGTCTCTAGCCCGTCTGAAGGGACATGATTAATTCAACGTCAGGTGGGGTCAATGATTCAGGTGCATTGCCTTGATTCCATTGGGACAATGCAAGCAATGCAGCCGCATAGATGGCATACTCCACTACGGCACCGCCCCTCTTGAAACGCAAGTCTACCTTGACAGGTGTCCATGACGGTGCTCCCGGGGCGAGGAATCAGACGGTCACTTACACTTTCATCCCAAGTATACGTGATGATTGGCCATGGGCTGACTCGAAAACCTTCCGTTCCTGACACGGGCCATGCATCTCACTCGGCCGGGCTCGGTAGAGGTCCTTGTCTTTATGGCTTCGTCATGATTTCATAGAGGCATTTAGGACAACTGACTTCTTGGCGTTGGTTTTCAAACTTACGACAGTGAGCTGTGCCGGGGCGAAACCCATTCCAGAATAACCAGTCACCAATCATTCGACAGGGGTCCTCAGCGGCCCCCGAGGAATTCCATAGGGCTGGAATCTCGACTCTCCACTCTGGGGTAGTGCATTCACCTCGCCAGCGAAAGGAGTAATAGCCTGTTTGAGATGCAACATGATGTCGTCCAAGTCTCCACTCTGGGGTGTTGCATTCACAGCAGTGGCAACAGCCTGTTTGAAATCCGACTTGATGTAGTTCGAGTTAAGGAGGACTCAACAGTGTATAAAGACTCAACTCATCTCCAAGTGGCGAAAAGATAGAACGCAGGCTGGCCATCACTGCAACTTCAACCCCTCTCTGCCATAACCGAGTCTACAGGTCTGCGACTTGCACGTCAAAGGCATCATGGCCCATCACATCGTCGACGCCGCCGCGTCACCGCGCATGGGCGCCTTTAACTTTGGCGATGCCGTCGCCTGCCCCTTTCCCACCCTTACCGCCGCCTTTTACCACCAAGCCTTGCTACATCCCAACTCGAAAGCAGTTCGCGATCTTTCGGGAAACTCGCCCCGAGACCTGACATACTATGAGCTGTCCAAGTACGCCCAAGCTCTCGCGTGCAGGCTGCGCAACCTCGGAGTCCAACCTGGACAGAGGATCCCTCTTGTCGTGAAGCGGGGACTTGAGATGGTGGTTGGCATCTGGGCCATCCTCTCTTGCGGAGCCCAGTACGTCCCGCTCGACGGAGGTGTTGTGCCAGACTCGAGCATCAAGCAGGTCGTTGAGCAGAGTGGAGAGCGTATTGTAGTCTGTCTCTCGACAACCGAGCACCGAACACGACGGACTTTTCCGCACGTTCCGTTAGTTCTCATTGACGAATGCATGCGGGCAGATGCTCGCTACTCTACAGACCAATGGGTAGACCTGGCAACCCCAGAGTCAGGGTGCTATGTTATCTATACATCTGGTTCGTTGCGTTCACAGCTATTCCATTCCAGTGCCTTTTCTGACTTTTTATACAGGCACAACCGGAAAGCCAAAAGGCATCGACGTGACGCATAGAAACGTTACCAATCTCGTCTGTCTAGGCCCTGGAAACCTGGGCATCAGCGATGGCATGCGCGTGGGGCAGGTCCTGAACATAAGCTTCGACATGGGTAAGCTTGCCTGTCTCAAGGGAATACGGCCGACTTGGCTAATCTGAACGCAGCGGCATGGGAAATCTTTGCTTGCCTGTGCAACGGAGGCACTCTCATGGTCCGCGGGTCTCAGTGGGAGCCCACAATTCGTCAGGCAAGTCAATACAACTAAGGTCCAGGATGCACTAGACAGCAGCTAATCATCAACCCCTAAATAGCTTCATGTTCTCATCTGCACGCCTACCATTCTGGCCAAATACCATCCGACGAAATACCCCAACATCAAGGTTGTCGCTACAGCAGGCGAGCCTACTTCTCAGGATCTCGCCGACCTCTGGGCCTCGCACGCCACGTACTGGAACTGCTGTGGCCCGACTGAGACGACAATTGTAAACACTATGTCCAAACACCTGCCCGGGACCCCTGTCTCCATCGGCCGGCCGACCCCGAACAACTCGGTGTATATCCTGGATGGGAACGGCAGGCCTGTCCCCATCGGTCAGCCCGGGATGATGTGGGCCGGCGGCCGCGGCGTGTCCCGTGGCTATGTCGGACTCGAGGCCAAGACCAAGGAGTCCTATGTCCCCAATCCATTTGTCATCGATGGGTACGCACCTCTCCGTCTTATCATCAGGCCAGGACTGATAGCTTATAGGTCCTACATGTACTGCACTGGTGACCTGGGTCAATGGCGCCAAGATGGCTCCATTGAGATTCTCGGTCGCGGCGACGACCAAGTCAAGGTCAAGGCAAGTTTCCCGCTGATTCCGCTCCACTCCTTGTCTTCTGACTTTGTAAACTAGGGCTTTCGTGTCGAACTCGATGGCATCGCATCGTCGCTAGCTTCTGCACCAGGCGTCTCTCGGGCAACGACGTTGCTCATCGACGGTGACCTCTACGGCTTCGTGGTGCCCCAACAACAAAACGTCGAGGCCGTTCTCCAGCACACAAGCAAACTGCAACCCTACTACGCTATTCCGACTGCTGTTTTCCCCATGGACGAGTTTCCAACCACGGCCAATGGCAAGATTGACAAAAAGGCCCTGCGCGTCTTGGCTGCCCAGCCCCAAGTCGACGAGCCGCGACTCGACACCGCCGTCACCTTGACTAGCCAGTCTCCGACTTATACAGAAACTGTTTTGGAGGAGAAGTTGGCGTCTTTCTCCCCGACTGAGAAGGATGTGTCGGACACGTTCGATTTGACGCAGGAACTCCCCAGCAAGCAGCTGCCAAGGCCGCTTCGGGGTCTCCGATACAGGATTTTTATCGTCTATCGACTCTTATTCAGCTTGACTGGTCTCTTGAATGTAGGCGCCCTTGTTGCCATTGTTTTTATGCGCCTCGGTCCGGAATGGCTGGGCACTCTGACTGCTGCCAATCTGGTTCTGGCCGTCCTCATACGACAAGATATGGTCATCAACGCTCTCTATACCGTCTTCTGCTCTGTGCCCAAAGCAGCTCCGCTTTGGCTTCGAAGTAGCTGCGCCAAGGTTTACCACCTTGGCGGCGTCCACTCGAGCGCCGGAGTCTGCGCAACACTGTGGCTACTGTCGTCTACAATTGCATCGACGACGACATTTGTCCAGGGACACAACACCACTGATTCGATGGCGACCTTGGTTATTTCCTGGCTCCTCTCCGCTATCTTGAGCACGATGGTATTTTTCGCATGGCCGTCGATTCGCAGGCATTACCACGATGTCTTTGAAAATATGCACCGATTCCTCGGATGGACCGCGCTCTTTCTCTTCTGGGTTCGTACCTTTCTCTCCATTGAGAAGACGAAGCCCCTGGACCAGGACCTTGGCGTTGCGCTTCTTCGGAGTCCTCAATTCTGGATCATTACCGTCGCATCCTTGAGCATCGCCTCCTCGTGGTTCTTTCTTCGAAGGGTATCCGTCGAAGCGATTCCTCTTTCCGAGCATGCCATGCGGCTGCATTTCAGCTACACGCAGCCGACCAACGGAAGTTTCACACGCATCTCCACCCGACCTTTGTTCGAGTGGCACTCTTTTGCAACGATTCCAAATGCAAAGACGGCTACTTCTCGCGGCTTTTCTCTCATCATGTCAAACGCCGGAGACTGGACCAAGTCACAGATCCAGAAGCCCCCGACCAAGCTGTGGGTTCGAGGGACGCCCACTTGCGGCGTCATGAGAATCGCAACCCTCTTCAACCGCATCGTCGTCATCGCCACTGGATCTGGAATCGGTCCTCTGTTGGGCCACATTGCGCACCCAAGTTGCCCTACCCAGCTCATCTGGTCCACTTCGTCGCCCGACACGCTCTTCGGACAAGACATTTTAAACGTAGTTCACAGGTCGATACCCAACGCAATCATCCATAATACCAAGAAGAGCGGGCGGCCCGACCTTGTCAGGATGGGCTACAATCTCGCCAAGAGCTTCAATGCTGAGGCTGTTATTATTATCGCAAACGAAAAGATTACAAAAAAGGTCGTATATGGTCTTGAAACACGGGGCGTTCCGGCCTATGGAGCGATTTGGGATAGCTGAGCATTTCGGAGGTGTTTTTAGTAGGCATTGGTTGGTCGTTAAGGAGCACAGCAATATATTTCAGCATAATACATTGCATCTACCAGGTCCGTGTTGATACGATGCTGCGGGAGGGGGGAAGTTCAAGGCCATTAATATCCGCGCCGAACCACTTTCCTAAAGAAGCTACCTTGTAGAGAACGGCCAGAGAACGCCACGGGACGACATCATCCTGCGGCGGCTCTCACGGCGAACTCGTCAGCCTTGTCTCTCCTTACCGCCTCCCTTAATACTACTACTATACGAGGAGCGGCCCATATTCTTGGTATATAAAGGGGGTTCCCTAAACAGCTAATAGTTAGTTCTAGTCTTAATTTTATTCTCTTTCTATACTACTACCTAGTATTATTTCTAAGGCAAAGGCTTTTTTTTTAATATTATTGCTCGTATATAGCCTCTAGGGCTATAGCGAGGCTAATAGGGGCCTAGGCCCCTATTAGTAGTCCTAGCTAGCTATAGAGCCCGGGGGCTTATAACTAATTAGGGAAAGGGTAGCTATAAAGGCAAAGATAAAGGAAAGGTTAGTCTAGTTCCTCCCGCGCGGTGATTTTCCCCCCTAAGGGCCCTAGGGCCCCTAGGTTACTCCTTTTCGAGCTACTTAGCTATCCCTATCTCTATTTTAGCTAAGAAGGTTAGAAGGGCTTCCCTTCCTTCCTTAGAGCTATAGAGAAAAGGTAGGCTAAGGGCCCCCTCCTAGCTCTTAGAGGTCTAGTAAAGGACCTCTCTTTCCCTCTTATAGTTCTTAAGGTATATAAGCAAAAGCGGAATTTTAAGAAATCAAGGAATCACGTAAGACTACGTGATAGAGGGGAAGAAGGAGTATAAGGTAGGATTTTCAATAGAATTTATTGGTAATGTATTAGTGTGTAGAAGAGGTGTTAAAGTTAATAATTCTCCCTCTATCTACCAGCGGACATGCTGTCTTATATAGATAATTGTAGCTGAACGGAAGAACCTTTCGGGACCAGATTTAGGCTGCCGTATAGCCCCGAGACTAAGGAATTCAGTGATACCTCGAGTGTATTAGGAAGTGTCTTGGTTCCACTAATATTCGTGTTTGAAGGAGGTTGGTCGTGCTGGTGTTCTTAAGAGGTCTTAGCTAGCATTCTAAGCTAGCTCTATTTCTTCGATTCCCGATTATACGATAACCGGCAACCCGTTTAATATATAATAACATGTAAAATAACGAGCGATTCTTGCTCTATAATATAGAATTTTGTCTATAATTAATATACTACTTATTAGCTTATATAATCGGGAAAGTATATTATAGCTGCTTTATTTATAGTAGGAACACCGTTCCTTATAATAGTTTAGGCACCTTAGGATAAGGTGCCTAGCCGTATACCTTCCTTAGCTATAGCGGTAGTCGTCTCGGTCTACCTTATTAGTCCTTTTTAAGAAGAAAAAGAAGAAGCTAGCCTTAAAGAGGAGCTAGTAAAAGGCTAAGAGGATCGGCCTAGGCCTCCCTATAAGGTCCTTTTCCGGGCTAAGGGCTAGGCGGGGGGTCTTTTAAATAGATATATAGTATTTACCTAGGCCCTTAGCCCTAGGGCCTTTAGTCGCCTCGGTAGCCTAGAGTTCCTTTTAATAGTCCTTAGTAGCTAATAAAGACTAAGGGGGTCCCTTAGGTAAGAGCCCCTAAGCCTCTTTTAGCTAGCTAGTTAGTAAGCTTATTACTAAAGATCCTTAGGTAGCTAGGGTACTAGTATAGCTATACGTTATAAAAGGCTTCTAAGCTAAATAAGAGCCTTTTAATATATATAGCTAGGTTTAAGAAACCTATAACCTTCCTTATAGTAGCTTAGCTATCTATAAAGATATAGGTATCTATAAGGGGGTTAAGGGGGCTAAGCCTTAAGAGCCGAGGCCTCTTAGCTAGGTCCTCTAAGACTCTTAGTATCGTAAATAGCTCTATGTTAGCTACTTTAATTAAGGGCCTTAGGTTCTCGTAGTATACTTTAATAGGCTTATTTTCTAGGCCTATTTTATAAAAGGAGTAAGCGTTAGTCTTTATAAGGGATCCCTTAAAGCACCTCTTAGAGCCGTTAGTATAGAAGGCTAAGGGCTATAACCTAAAGTCTTTTAGGCTAGCTAGGCTAGCTAAGAAGTATTAGTACTACTTCTTAGCTAAGGGCTTAAGGACCTTTATTATTATAATAGAGGCCTTAAGCTCTAGGGCCTATAAGGGCTCCTAGCTAGCTTTCCTTTTTTCTAAGTTATAATTAAGTCCTATAAGAGCTACTAGGCCTTTAAGGAGGCGGAAGAGCTATATATATAGCTTAATATAGCTTAAGGCCCTTAGATTAAAGCCTAAGTCGGCGAGGTTATCCTATATAACTAGGTCGTAAGCCTACCTTATAAGGTAACTAGGTAAGAAGTATAGGGTCTAAAGGGCGTAGGAAAGGCATGCCCTTTTAAATCGTACCTTTAGTAGCGGTAGGGCTGCTTTAGCTTTTAAAGCCCTAATAGGGGATCCTTTAAAGGCCCTTAAGACCTTTAAGAGAGCTTAGTTTTATAGCCTTTAAATTAGCTTTATAAGGCTCTTAAGGGTCTTAGGCCCCCTATATTAAAGCTAGGCCCTATAGTCTATTATAGAGGTTATATAGGCCTAGTAAAGCTATTTAGAGGCTCTAAATAATAGGCCTTTTTATATAGAGGTTAAGCGGGATAGTGTTTTAAAAGCAGCTTATATAAAGGCTACCTTCTTTTTAATATATTATTTAAATAAGAGCCTAGAATTAAAAAAGACCCCTAGCTACTATACTAAGGGCTTTACCTTAAAAAATAAGTCTCCTATAATTATACCCTCTATAATAAGCTACTATTACTTATTAAAGTAGATAAGTTCTATCTTTAAAGGGTTAAAGTAAACCCCTTAATCTTTAGCTTATTTAAATAGGTTAGTAGCTATTACTTCTAGCTACTAAACGTTCTTCTTAGTTAAGGTCGACGTTATAGAGATACTAAAGTTATTTATATAAGATAGCTAGTATCTCTTAGTCGCTTATATCCCCCTTATATATAAGAGTAATAAAATAAGGCTAATAAGAGACCCTTAAGGCACCCTTATTACTAGGTCTATAAGGGGCTAGACTTACCCCTTAAAGGCTAGCTAGATCTTCCTTTTAATAAGGAAGTAGTTTACTTAGCTTATAAGGGCCTTAGGGAGGTTTAAGTCCCTTAGGAGCTTTATAAGCTATTCCGTTAATATAAAATTAAAGGCGCTCTTTATATCTAATAAAAGGGTACTAGTAATAGCCTTTTTATTAGGCTCTTACTTCTTTTAAATATAGTATAGAAGGAGGAAAGCTATATTTATAGCTAACTATTATTTTCGTCCCCTTAGCTATATAGGGTTTAAAAGCCTAGCTATATTAGCTAAATAGCTTAGCTAGGTAGTATATAGCTCTTTAAAGACCTTTCCTAAGTAGTAAAGTAAACTTATAACCCTATAAGCCTTAAGGATAGTATAGTTTAGCTTATTTTACTTAGGAAGTATAATTCTTATAGCTTCTTTTTATACCTTAAGGTAGTATCCTTAGTTAAATAAAGCTATATAGGCCCTATTAAAGACTATAGGGATAGCCTTATATATATATTAAATAGGGAGGAAGCTAAGGGAGTCTAGGCTAAGGGCTTTCTTCTTAAAAGAGCTAAAAATAGCCCTCCTAATCTTAGGGTCCTTTAGCTCTAACTAGTCTTACTTATCTATACCTTTACTACTTATATAGCCTAGAGGCTCTCCTTTTTCTAGGCTTTAAAGGGGGCTAAGGTAAGGGCTAGGGCTAGGGTCTAAGGTTAGGAAACGGGTCGTTAAAAAGGCCTTATATTTTTCTATAAAGGTATTAGCTCTTACCTCTATCCCTTTTTTTATATATAAGATACTAAGAAGGGTAGGGTTAGGTCTAGCCTTAGTATAGAAAAAGGCTATAAAATATCCTTTCCTATTACTTTTATTAAGAAACTCTCTTAGTATTACTTTTTAGTAGCTTTAATAGTATACTTAAAGCTATTTTAGGCTTTTATAAAGCTCCTTTAGCTCTCCTTATCTTAGGCTAGCTTATAAGCTTATTAGGCTAAGCTTAGGGCTTTTTAAAGGTAGGTTAGCTTATTAGTCTACTAAGGCTTAGATCTTTTATAAGGCCTCTTTTTTAGTATTACTATGTTTAAGGCCTCTATAAGGGTTCTTATTAAAAGGGAAGCTATTCCTTTTAAGTCGTTTCTTTTTATAGCCCTCTCTATAGCTTTAAGGAGGTTATATTCCTTCTTAGCTAAGTATTTTAAAAATACCTTTTAGTTTACTTTCCTATAATTATAAGTAGTAAGCTTAGCTAGTAAGGGTTTATTAGGGCCCTTTAAGCTAGCTTTAAAGGCTATAAGCTTATAATCTAAGCCTATAGCTTTTAGGAAGTAGAAGTTAGCCTAGGTTAGCTATTTAAAGGGGCTATAAAAAGTAAGGTCTATAACTAATACCTCTTTTAAGCCTTTTCTTTAATAGGTGCCTTTTATAGCTACCTTAAGGTCTATTAGTAAGGAAGCTTTATAGCGGTCGAGCTAGCTAATAAGGGCTTCTACCTTATAGGCCTTAAAGGGTTTTATAGATAGGTTCTACTAAGGGTAGTATAAGTTAAAGTCCCTTATTAATAGAAAGGGCTACTTTAAGAGCTAAGCTATTAATAGTAGCCTTTTTATTATAAGGGGCCCTTACTAGCCTTAGCTAGCTAAGGCCCCTTTAACTTCTTTTTTATTATATTAGTTAATAAAGGTAAATAGTTTAATACCTTTTACCTTTATATATTATAGAGTAGGTAGAGGCGTATATATAAGTACCGTTTATAAGATAATATTAATAAGCTATATAGAGCTCTTTTATATACGGCTAGCCCGCCCTTATATATATAAGATCCGGCCCTTTATATATAACTATATAGCTTAGGCTATAGCTTAAGCTTATTACC